CGATGGCCTCCAACCTAAGAGCGATGGCCTCCAACCTAGAACCGATGCCCTCCAACCTAGGAGCGATGACCTCCAACCTAAAAGCGAAGCTGCCTCCGGCCCGAGCTGCACATGAGCGTGCACTCGCTCCTGCCATGTCGTGGCGCTGAGTTGTTTGGCCGGAACCTGGTCCCAACTCCAGGTTTGTCATGCCCGCGTCTGGTCCGATTTGGATCCTTCTTTTTACCCTGCAACTGGGCTGGCAAGGTGGCGAGGGTTGTTCTGTCGCCATGGACAGGACGGGAATGGAGTTCAGCTTGGACTCCATGAAAGATCATGGCATCCATCCACCAATAGGCTCCGGCCTTAGTAAACGTTCTCTAAAGATCAACAAAGCAGGCGTCGTCAAGCGCAGCTATCGCCGTGCTATTCGACGCATTGCTACTCACGGATTTTGCTGGTATAGAGGACAGTGTCTGACTCGAGCTGATGTTTCTGCTGACTCGAGCTGATGTTTCTGCTGAGCTTCTTGATCACGCCATTTCCCAACGCCCTCCTGTGACTCATGGACGCATGGGACCACGGTGGACTGGACCTCCGGCTTCCAACAATGTGCTGGTCCCTCATCGACAATTTATTGCACTGGTTTGGAACCCTGGCGGATTGTCTAGCTGTCGACTTCAGGAATTTTTGATTTGGGCTGAATGTCAAGCAGCTGGAGTTTATATTCTTCCTGAAACCCGCTGGGCCTTCGACTCCAGCTGGGAAAATGCAAAGTGGCTCTTTGTTCACAGCGGCTCTGAAAAGGGTAGAGGTTCTGGTATTTTGATCATCATCTCGAAACTCCTCTGTGGGGGGGACAGGTTGAGCCACCGTACCATCATTCCTGGCAGGCTCGTTCATGTCCGGCTACACCTGGCCCCAAGGTATTTGGACATCTTGGCTTGCTACCAACATGCTGGCCATACTGGGGGCGACGTGGAAGCCCGGGCATCCTTCTGGGCCACACTGGACGCTACTTTGAATTCCCTGGCCACGCGGCATGGGCTGATCTTGGCTGGTGATTTCAACTGCTGCCTTTCTGCAGGGTACCCTGTCACTGGGACCAATGTCTTCACCCACGATGGACGACAGATCCTGGGCACCCAACATCGGGATCGTGCTACGTTCAATCAAATAGCACTTCAACATGGTCTTGTGGCCTTGAACTGCTGGGATGCTCGAATTGGGCCCACCTCCCACAACCCGCTTGGTGCTGTTTCCCGGATTGACTTCGTTTTTGTTCGCCAGCGGTCTGTGGATGCAAGCTCTCGGAAGGCAGCGCTTCTTACTGAGGCTCCATTTGCTCATGACCAAGGTGCCCGCCACACTCCACTGTTGTGCAACTTGGCTCTACCAAGGATCCCCAGGACACCTCATCGTGAACCTCAAATCAGGCTCTTGCATCGACAACATGGGCGGGAAGCTCGCCTATCTGGGCAACCACATTGGCTCCTTTTCGCCCAGGAAGCGCAACGCTTGTTTGATGAGATGACTGCCCCCACAGCTTTGACCGATGAGGCACAGGAGGGATCCGGGCTCTTGGCTCATTCAGCAAATAGTCTTTTATATGACGTTAAGCACGATGCAGATTTTGTGAACACACTTGATCACTGGCACACACAAGCATTGCAGTGTTTTCGTACCTACTTCACTCACCCACCCCGAGATGAATGTAGTAGTAGTCAACCCACTGGTGATACTCCCATTACCTGCTCCTCTGTGGCGCATCAAAAATGGGGTCACTTTCATGCCTATCGTATGCCTGCGATTGTTTCTCTCTCTGCAGTTTTTCGAGTATGGAAGCACTTTGCCAGTTTCAATCTGGCTCACAGGCAACATGCTCGCATGGTCCGATTGAACAAGAAGCGCACACTTGATGGTGTCATTGTGACCGCAGCCAAGGCGGCTGCGCGCCATGATTCGTATACCTTGTTTGCATGTGTTCGTTCCCTCTTACCCAGAGTTGATCGTAAGCTTAAGCTTAGAACCCCAACTGGTCAGCTTATGAGCACTGTAGAGGAAATTGCCTGTTTTCGGCAACACATCCGCACCAAAACCTAATAAACCTCCCATTCATCCCTCGTCATTGCGTCCCCTAGCTCTCACCGACCCACTTGGTAAAGCCGTCATGAAGTTAGTGGCTGATCAAATTCGATCTCAGGCTTGGTCTCACCTTGTTTCATGGCCTCAATATGCCTACCTCTCCCACAGATCGACTTCTGATCCTATTTCACGGGCGGCTCAGCATTGTAGAGAGGCTAGAGAGCTGAGAGTCAGTCAACGGCCCACGCAACACGACCGTGCCTCTGGCATCGTAGGTCCCACTCTTTGCGGAGCTGTTCAGGTTTTCCTTGATGTGGATAAAGCCTTTGACGCCTTTGACAATGCACCAAGAGAGGGTCTTGTTCATGGTCTTGTTGAGTGTGGTGTTGATGAGGGGCTTGCCACCTTAATTGGTGAGTGGCACTCGGGCACGCGCTACCATTACACCCACCTGGGCACGTCCATTTGTGAACAAAGTGGTAAGGGTGTTCGACAAGGTTGCACGGGGGCTCCCATTCTCTGGGCTGTCCTCATGACACGGTTTTTGCGACGCCTCTCCCAAAGTGTTCCCATTGCCTGGATCAAACGCTGTCTCAACATTTTTGCTGACGACCTTCAAGGGGGGAGCACGTTTCGCAGTGACCATGAACTTCGTGACTGCTTGCGGTACTTGGGCACGGTCATTGACTGCCTTGAAGAGCTTGGCTTGAGTGTCAATCCTGTGAAAACGGTTGCACTGTTGCAGCTTGGTGGTGTCCAACACCGGAAGTGGCAAGCTTTGATCACCCAACGTGGGGCCAATGGAGCCTACCTGCTTTTGCCTCGGAAAAATGGCAGCATGCGGTTGAAGCTTGTTTCCTCAGTTGTTTACCTTGGAGTTCGTGTTTCTTACGCGGACTTTGAACAGTCCACGCAATCCATGCGCACCAGTGCTGCACACTCCTCGGCAATGTCTCTTAGTCGTTGGCTCTACAGCAAACGCCGTCTGCCTTTCCGAACTCGGCTTGGCTTGTGGCAAACATGCATCATTCCATGTGCTGAGTATGGGTTGTTGGCGGTTGGCCTCACCACAAAGGTCATTGCACGGCATGTGACTTGTCTCATGAAACAACTTCGTATCATTACAGGCAACGCATGATAGTCACCTTGCTGTTTTGCATGCCTACGGTCTTGAGCGTCCCATTGAGTCTCTGCGCCGTTCTGCCCAGGCTCGGCTCCGTCAGCATGATCAAAATCTGTCGGTTTTGGGTGCCAATGATATTGTCGTGAGTCACTCCAGTTTTTCTGTGGCAGCATCCCTTCAAGTGATCGATCGTTTTCGTGAGGCCCTGTACTCGAGTTCTTCTGTGGATCTGCACGCTCCACATCTACAGTCAGGCCTGCGCTGTCACATCTGCCATGCTTCGTTCTCTGACGTGACTGACCTTCATCGACACTTCACACGCACACATGCCATGTTTTGTAGTCCTCAAGTAGTCGACTATGAGAAGCATGCTGTTGAAGGTCTGCCGGAGTGTGCGCATTGTTCGAAGAAGTTTGATTGCTGGAGTTCCTTTCGTAAGCACATCACTCAGAAACGATGTCATGTTAGACCTTTTGATTTGAGCATTGAGTCTTCTGTCACACATGCAATTCCTGCCGCCCTGTGGCGAGAATTGACTTCGTTTCGTAAGTATGATGATAATGAAACACTCCCTCATTCACAACTCACTTTGGATGACTCCTTTGCTGCAACCCCGTGCACTCAGGCTATGAATCTTTCTGCACTCCGGGCACGAGTTGCCCACGTTGTCCGTGGTGAGAACTGGCAAGACCTGCAACAGAATCGTGAGGCTTGTGACTTCCTGACCCACCATTGCCTACGGTGTGGACGCTGGTGCACTCATTTGCGGGAGGCTCATCCTCAAATATTGATCCCTGGCATTGATCAGATGATCGCACTTCAGAAGAACCATGTACGGAGCTCACCGTGCCCTTTTTGCTCACTTTCGTGGAAGCAACAGCATGGCTGCCCCATTTTGCTTCAGACAGCTATCCTGCAGGCTGAGTTGACAACCAGTTCCCAGGCTGACACGGACCAGGGTACCTCTGCCCATGCCTCAGCCGTGACTGGACCTGAACGACCTTCATCCTTCTCATGGAATTGTCATCTTTGCTCTCAGAGTTTTGGAGCACGGGTTCAACTGACTGCACACCTGCAAGAACATCAACAGCAGCTTCATCGATATGATCCCAAACGGGACTCGGTTGAAGGTGAACCAGCTTGTTCCCACTGTGGACTTCTAGTGACCTCCATGGATGCCTTACGGAATCACATCACGAAGGGGCATTGCAAGCACTTTGATCCACGCAAGCACGTTCCAGACCATGCCATCAGCCCGGACCTCAAGGCTGCCTTGCTGGGCGGTCGCCTGGGACCATATCTTCGAAAAGCAGGTGCCCGGACTTTCTTGACAGTACAGTGCTTGTGCTGTGGCCGTGCCTTTCCTGGACTTCGTGAGCTCTCCAGGCACTTGCAAGACAAGCACTCCATCCTTTGGAATGAAGCTCTTCATCTTGGCCTCAGCCTCAAGCAGGTCATTAGCCCGGCATGAATGTGTGGGGCTACGACAGCTTGCCATGACTCATCTTCGGTTGCATGACACACTCTTGGTTCCTTGGGTCTTTGAAATGGATATGCTTCAGCAGTTGCTCCGCCCAGGCGTTCTGCCTGCAGATTTGGTCAATGCCTTGTACACCTGGCTCATTGACCGACAGTTTCATCAGCTGTGGCAATGCAACGAGTTGATTCAGATTCTCAGTTCACGCTGCTTCATGTGTGACTTTCGGGGTCATGGCACTGATTTACATGTGCACCTTTTAGCTGACCATCACTGCCAAGAACGTGGTTTGATGATGTTTGTGCATCAGATTATACGACTGTTGACCACTCCACCTGCTGAGAATCTGAGATGCATGTTCTGTGGCATGGCTCGAGATGATCTTCAGGCCCATTACCTTGCCTGTCCTACGTTGATTCAGATCTCCTCCTTGCTGTCCCTTCCGCTGCATGAGCGATTTTGGCTTGGAGTCCATGGAGGACGCTTTCACGGAGCAATCATTGGCGGCGCTCCAAGGCTGGGGCCAGTTGGAGGCTATGGAAAGAGATCCGGAGCAGCTCAAGAGAGCCAGAACCAGACAAAACAAGCGAGACAGGCAGACAGTGGAACGGGAACCTCCATTGCGAGATCTCATTCGAGCCATGGGTCATCTAGTGTTGCGCCACGACCAAGACCTGCAGGTGACGGCACAACAGGACACATTCATACTCTTCTTGGTTCCAAGCCAAGAGGGCAGCATCCCTCTCCTTCAGACAGCGCACCGTCAATGGACGGACCTCAGGGAGAAATCCTCCAACCTCCGCACTCACCTGATCCTGGCGCTTTTGAGAGAGCTCCAGAGGAGGCTTCTAAAGCTGATGACTTGCTCGGAACAAGATCCACTTCGGGTCACTCTGGTGAAGAATGCCATCCTTCTCGAGGATCAGACTTGGCCCTACACACAGTGGGATCCCAAGGAGAAGAAGCTGGTCCTGTCCAAGGTCAAGACACCTTTGTCCATGACTGCGGCCCAGGAATTGCTCGAGGAACTCCTCACCCTGGTCAAAGAAGAGGGAGCGATCCAGAAATTTCATTCGTTGGGGAAGCAGGATGCATCGAAAAGCCAACCATGGAAGCTTCAGGTGGGGATGCGCAACGATCGACTACACAAGTTGATGACCTCTTGCTGCCACCTGAGTTTGATGCAAACTGCAGGCCTCCAGATGAAGCCTCACAACCTGAAAGCCTCACCGCTTGCCTTGAAGATCAAGGACATGATCACCCGCCTATGATCACTTCAGAGCGCAGCAAGTTGGCTTTGACTGTGGCCTCATGGGTTATGCAGAATCCTGCCAACCACTGCTACGTCAACTCATCTATGATTGCTATGGTTTGGGCCTGCCTTCGTCGGCGGCATTTCTCTTTTGATGATTGGGGAGTCCTTCAAGGGGGGTTGAAGACTATGCTGCAATGTGGACCTGAACCCTTTTTGATCCTTGCTCTGAGGCAGTTCCAGGACCACCTTGCCGCTTGGGATGGAAATCGGCAGCACGACGCTGCTGAATTCACCACCTTTCTCATGTCCAAGATGGACCAAGCTGCTGTTTACAGTATGTGGGAGCGACGCTTTGCTCGTGATACTGGTGTTGTAAAAAGGCATGCGCATGCCCTTGGGGCTCTCTTGCTGCACCTCCGAGTGATGCCTGAGCCGATTCATCCATTGAGTCATCTTGTTGAGAATTGGCACACAGAGTCCGGCATGATCACAGCTTTTTCCCACCTTCCATCCCTGATTTGCATGCGCTTGGACCGACTCCGACCATTGGCAGGTAACCCACATGGCCAGAAGCTCGTGTCTAAAGTGCTGCTTGATGCTGTGTTCAGGATTCCACAGTTCACAGGTGATGACATCCAGGTCGAGTACTTTGACTATGTTCCAATTGCTGCTGTGGCGCACCTGGGTCAACCTGGATCAGGGCACTACCGGGCGGCTTTGAAATCCCTTGACACCTCGACCCCTACTGAGTGGCTTCTGAGCGATGATGATGTGAGCGCTGTTCCGGTCCTAGGATTACCTGGGTGGTTTGAAACTCAGGTCATGATGGTGCCAGTTGTCGGTGCTTTTTGAGACCCCCGAAGAGGTGCCAGTCATCGATAAGATGTTGGCTCTTTTTGCAGACGTGTGAACTGGTCACCCACGTGGTGGCACTTGCTGTGATCTTGGATCACTCAGACTTCCACCGGAAGCCGTGACGATGTCACGACAGGATCGCGCAAAGAACGCCAGAGAGCTCTTAGCGGTCCAACCTAAAAGCGATGGCCTCCAACCTAAGAGCGATGGCCTCCAACCCAGCAACCTAAGAGCGATGGCCTCCAACCTAAACCCGATGGCCTCGAACCTGGAGCCGATGGCCTCCAACCTAGGAGCGATGGCGTCCAACCTAGAACCGATGGCACCTAAGAGCGTAAGCTGCCTCTGGTCAAGATGCTGACCAGCAAGCATTCGCCTGAGCCATGGATCTCTGCTGACCACATCTGTGGTCTCTGACCAGATTCCTGGTCCCAACTTCCAGGAGCGCCATGCTCTTCACGAAGATCTTTTTTCTTGTTTATAGCTACTGGAGGTTCTTCCCTACTGGACGTATGGGGCCCTGTTTGACGAGACCTTTGCCTGGTAATACCACCCATGCTCCAAAACGAAGGGCAGTGGCATTCATTTCGAATCCTGATGAAGCGATTTCCTCCAAAGGCGATTCCCACCCAGTGGATTCAGAGATGCGTCAACATCTTTGCTGACGACTTGCAGAGTGGGGACACGTTTGGGGATGAACGTGAACTTGGATTGCGCTTGGAATGCTTGGGATTGGTCGTTGACGGTCTTGGACAGCTTGGCCTAACCGTCAATTCTCTGAAGACAGTCGCCATGCTTCAATTGGCTGATTCCCGCCGTCGCAAATGGCAATCGCAGCTGGTCCATAGGGTGGCCAATGGCGCCTACCTGTTGCTGCCGCGTAAAAGTGGCCCACTGCGGATCAAGCTGGTTTCATCTGTGGTGTACCTTGGAGTTCACGTTTCGTTCTCTGCTTTTGAAGTAACCACTCAAGCCATGCGGACAAGTGCAGCCTGCTCATCCACTGTGCACCTTAGTCGATGGCTCTACAGCAAGCGCAGACTTCCTCTTCGCACTCGGTTAGTGTTGTGGCAAACATGTGTCGTTCCATGTGCTGAGTACGGATTGCTTGCTGTTGGAGTCACTGCACAGTCACTGCATAGGCATGTCACTAGTCTCATCAAACAGCTTCGTATCATCACCGGAAATCAATCTCACCATACACACGACAGCCATCTCACTGTTTTGCGTTCCCTCGGACTTGAGCGTCCGATTGAGTCTCTTCGTCGCGCCGCCCAGGCCAGGATAGGTCAGCATGCTGTGAACATACAAAAGGTGAACGCTGGTGGTATTGCGGTTACGCATTCGGTTTCCTCGTTGGCTGAATCCCAGCGTATCATTGCACGCTACTGTGAGGAGTTGTACGCCCGCGCGCCTTTGGTGACACCTGACCTTCCTCCAGGCTTATATGAAGCACCGACGTCACACTAGGGCACGCAACTTTTTTCGCTCCCCTCAACCCGTTGACTATGCCATTCATGCTGTGGAAGGCCTCCTTCTCCCTGAGGCGGCGTCAACCTTGGTTGGGTGTTGGTGAAACCAGTCGTAACCCTCCTGGACTTGCTGTTCTGTGGCAAGACATGCTTCGATTCGATAGGTTTGATCCGAGTACAGCTGAACCCGTTAGTCAATCCACCATTCGTGATTACTTTGTATCACCTGCCCGGACTCAGGTTCGTGCTGCGATGAGCCTCTCTACACTTCGTGCCAGAGCTCGGGAGCTTTGCCGTTCTGGCAACTGGACTGATCTTCAGCAGGACCGGGAGCTGTGCGACTATCTTGCCCATCATTGTCTTGAGTGTGGCCGTTGGCGCGCCAGAAGTCGTGAGTTGGTAGTACATCTACGTGAAGCTCATTCCACGTGTCTTGATCCCTGGGATTACTGCAGCGTGACTACGTCAGAACATCACCATGTCCCTTTTGTGAACTTGCGTGGACGCAACAACATGGATGTCCCATCCTGCTGCAGCTTGCTATCCTGCAGGATGCCCATGCTGGTCCTGGCCCGTGTCATGGCTCAGCCTCTGGGGCGCAGCCCTCAGCTGAACCTGACTTGGGATCAACCACATGGACATGTCACCTCTGTCCTCACCATTTCAAGTCGAGGGCTCAATTGAGTACACACCTACATGATCATCAACAACAACTCCATCGTTTTGATCCACGCCGGAACTCGATTCAGGGGGAGCCTGCTTGCTCGCATTGCGGACTATTGGTCACGACCCCAGATGCCCTTCGGTATCACATTACCAAAGGACACTGCAAACACTTTGATCCCAGAAAGCCAATTCCTGTTCTTGCAATGGCCTCCAACCTAAGAGCGATGGCCTCCAACCTAGAACCGATGGCCTCCAACCCAAGAGCGATGGCCTCGAACCTAAGAGCGATGGCCTCCAACCTATGGCCTCCAGAACCGATAGCCTCCAACCTAGGAGAGCTGCCTCTGGTCAAGATGCTCACCAGCGAGCATTCGCCTGAGGCTCCTTTCTGTGTTCATGAAAGATCATGGCCACCAACCACCGATGGGCTCCGGCCCCGCTCCTCGTGCTCTCAGGAACCCCAATACTGGAGTTGTAAACCGCAACTACAAGCGGGCTGCAAGAAGGGTTGCGCAGAATGGCTTCTGTTGGTATAGTGGGGCAACGCCTCACCTCGGCTGAGTTTACTCCGACCCTTATGGTTACCCTGCTCCGTACACACACCTCCAAACCCTCTATGGACGTATGGGGCCCTGTTTGACGAGACCTTTTGCCTGATAATACCACCCATGCTCCAAGACGAACAGCAGTGGGGGCTCTCGCGAAGCAAACTGGCCGAGTTCCTACTCTGGGCCGTGGAGAGTGAG